GTCGATTGTTGTGTCTTTGTGGGTGTGTGTTTGTTGTTATGTTTGCGGTTGTGTTTGTGGTTGTGGTTGTGGTTGCGTGTTTGTGGTTGTGTTTGTGGCTGTGCGCTTGTGGTTATGTGTTTGTATTTGTGTGTTTGTGGTTGTGAGCTTGTGGTTGTGTTTGTGGTTGTGTGTTTGAAGCATACTATCTGCCATTCTATCTGGCAATCTATCTGACATACTATCTGGCATACTGTCTGGCATACTATCTGGCATTTTGTCTGGCATACTATCTGTCGTTCTATCTGGCATATCTTCTGGCATTCTATCTGGCATTTTATCTGGCATTCAATCTGGCATATTTTCTGGCATTCTATCTGGCAATGTATCTAGCAATCTATCTGACACACTATTTGGCATACTATCTGGCATATCTTCTTGCGGCATTCTATCTGGCAATCTACCTGGCATTCTATCTGGCATTTTATCTGGCAAACTATCTGGTTGAGGTCCAGCGGCGCACACTGCGATCGGATTCTTGCGGTTGAGGTCCAGCGGTGCGCACTGCGATCGGAACCTTGCGGTTGAGGTCCAGGGGTGCGCACAGCGATCAGATCCTTGCGGTTGAGGTCCAGGGATGCACACTGCGATCGGATCCTTGCGGTTGAGGTCCAGCGGTGCACACTGCGATCGGATCCTTGCGGTTGAGGTACAGGCGTGCACACTGCGATCGGATTCTTGCGGTTGAGGTCCAGGCGTGCGCACTGCGATCGGATCCTTGCGGTTGAGGTCCAGGGATGCACACTGCGATCGGATCCTTTGTGGTTGAGGTCCAGGGGTGCACACTGCGAGGGGATCCTTGCGGTTGAGGTCCAGGGGTGCACACTGCGAGGGGATCCTTGCGGTTGAGGTCCAGGGGTGCACACTGCGATCCGGAGCTGGCCAGACAAGATCGGCGAAGCAGATTGGCGATGAAGATTGGCGAGGAAGGAACCAAGGAGGAAGGAGGAAGGAAGGAGGAGGAGGACGCGGAGGAGGAGGAGGAGGAGGAGGAGGAGGAGGAAGAACAACTGTGATAAAATCTAACAACCCTCACCTGGCAGGCGGGGAACAAAAAACACAAAATTCAGAGAGTCTTGGCTGGGACCCCCCAGTCTGGATTTTTCTTTTTTTCGATGCTTTTGGCTCCCCTCTTAAAACTGATTCATTCCTTCCATATGTCATTTTCCCTTTTATGAACCCCTTTCAACTTGCAATTTGTATAAGTTCCTTCACATTTCCTTTTATATGCGATTAATTGTTTTCATTTTCCCTTTAAACTTGATTAATATCTTTATTTTGTTCTTAAAGATGCTTATTTATTTCCTGTTATTTTCCCTTTAAAAATGATCTATTCCTTTCATTCATCCTTTGCAAATGATTAATTACTTTCATTTTCCATGTTAATTTCTAGGCCTATTGCTAATGAAAAGAACGTGAAAAACTGCACTCCCAGGAGCTGCCGTTCTGTTTAAATAGGAGCGTCAAACATTGAAGCAGCAGAATGGAGCACGCACAAAGCTGCCCAAGGCAGCTGATCTGAATGGCGCATATTCCAAGCCTGCATTGAAAGACAGCGTAAAATTGAACATGTTGCTTTGTCCTGCTGCAACCCCATGTTGAGACCACAACCCTGATCCATTCACGTTCATATCTGCGTCGAAGGCCTGGAAGGGACGGGGAAACACTCACTTGGCCTTGGACAGCAAACACGTGACAACAAAGCTTGTCTTCCACACTGGAACTCCAATTTTTGAATGGGCCGCGACTTAATTTTGGAATTTGTTTTGTTTGTTTTTTGTTTTTTTCGTATTTCGTGGCAGGTGCAGTACTTTGTGGACCTTGCAAAGCACATTTCGTGGCAGGTGCAGGACTTTGTGGATGTGGAAGTGCAGAGTTGGTGGCAGGTGCAGGACTTTGTGGGCCTTGGAGTGCAGATTTTGTGGCAGGCGCAGGACTTTTTGCCTTGAAGTGCAGATTTCGTGGCAGGTGCAGTACTTTGTTGATGTTGAACTGCAGATAGATAGAAAGATAGAAAGATAAATAGATAGATGGATACATAGATAGAGGAGGCATATTTGCTTGGTTAGAAAGTTTTGCACCGCAGAGTTCACCTTAAAATATTGATTTCGTGGCAGGCACGGGTGTCGGGGGTGAAGTGTAGATTTCGCGGCGCGGGGGAGGGTTGAGGGGGGGGGCGCAGCGCCCCCCCCCAGCAGCACACCAGATCCAAAGGTGAGCAGCTCGCGCTTGCTTGCTTCCTTGCTTGCTTCCTTGTTTTGTTTCGTCTCTGCAACGAAAACAACAGGAAAAGCAAATGCAAAAAAAAAGAAAAAGGAGAACAGCTGCCAAAAAGAAAGAATGAAAGAAAGAAAGATAGATAGATATAGACAGGTAGGTATAGACAGATAACTGAGTAGGCCAAAAAGCCAAAAGCCACAAAAGCCAAAAGCCACAGAAGCCACGAAAGCCACGAAAGCCAAAAGCCACAAAAGCCAGAAGCCACGAAAAACAAAAAATCCAAAAAAGGAAACCAAAAAATTCAAAAATAAATAGCCCTCCTTTTTGAATATCACTCGGAACTGACTTGCAGCGTTGAACTGATCAGTTCAGTGCAGTTCACTTGCTCCGATCTCATCTATCTCTGACCACACCGTTGTGCTGCAAGACCAAGTTATGTCATGTCAACACCCCCCTTCCAGGCCATTGAACACATCAACGGCAACTGAATACAAAACACAAGCAAAGTGTTGGTTCTACAGCTGGAGTGCATCAGGAACAAGTCAGCAGTCAGTGTGCTCCTGATGATCTAAATGCTCAAAGTGTCAAACGTCTTTTGACAAAGCATAATTAATCATCAGGGCCAGTGACAAAGTGATTGCCATGATGGTCAGCATTTGACTGCCTGCCTGCAACCAAAAGTATGTGGCCAAGCTCTGTTGAATGACCATGACCAAATGCCTCGCGCCAGAATTCTTTAAAACATGTACGCGACAATTGCACACACGGAAGCAATCTGAAGTTCGTACAACGTGAAACTACAAACCGAACTGAGTCGTTGTCATAAAGGTCACAGAAGGCTGGCCGTCCTTATATCAAGGCCAGGCTGCCGCTACGTGTCCAGCATAATATGGTTTGCCACTTCATTGCATAGAGGTCATAGAGAATGACGGTCCCAAAACAAATATTGACAAGCAGTCCAAGAGAAATGGAACAGCGCTGGCCCTCACACTTTCTGCAGTGATCCAATGCTCAAGTCTGGGTACTTAGGCAAGACATCCCACGGTCAGACGGTCAGCGGATGCAATTGTGAAACATTTGTTCTGGGGTCCTTGCGGCGTTCAAAGCTTTTTCAAACGGTTCCACTTGGTGCAATGCATCACATTTTCGTCTACAGTTTTGCACAGCAAACTTTGGTTTACCACATCCCTGCAAACTCAAATTCACCGTGCTTGTATAGACTGAAACGCATTACGATATCTAAACAAGTACTCATTCAGACTCATTCATCTCACGACATCGTCTGAATATCTTTTGACTATGACAACATAAATACAAATAATGTCACAAATGATATTAAACATTTTCACGCAAAACCGAGGCACGCTTTCTACATATTTGACAACATAGCCAATCGTCTAGGAGGCCAGCAAGCTTGTCCGTGAATACTCACTGCGATTGCATACACAGCCGCTTCGGAGGTTATCCCCAATTTAATTGGCTGACAAACTCGGCATAGCTGCGTCCCTCAGTGGTACCATACACATGGCACAACGGTTTCTTTCTGCTGGGATCGCGGGGGGGGCTTGAGCCAAAGTGTTCCGGATATTGTATATCCTCTCAACTGTACACGTTTCTAGAGGATCGATGCAATTTCTTACACATCCCTTTTTGATCCTCTAGATTCATGGATCTCGCGTTCTTTTTTTAAAAACAAACACCAAACACACACAAACTCCAATCAACCTTTCTAGGGTGCTTTTCCAATCCATCTAAGTAGAGTTGGGTCTTCAGTCTCATCGAATTCATCTGTAAGACTTTCCTGAGTAGATCCATCTTCACACCTAACTTTGTGAGGCCGTCGACTAACATGTGGTCCGTAGGTAGCCACCGTACTTGTACATTATCTCGGGCCACATCTCTCTTGACCAATAGAATTTTTATGGCCATTCTTTTGTCTTTGATGGTCATCACTTGACCATTCAGATGATCAATGACAGGTCGTGAATCTACTGATATTGTAAGTGGAATTCTTGAGCTCCAGATTTGATCCTCTTCCAGCTTGTAGTTCAGAAATCTGGCTACCGCCCATAATGATCTCATCCATTTTGACTCCGAGATGGTTCTTGATAATGTCATTAGCTCAGCTCCCAACGTTGAAGCCACTTGTCGATCCTTGTAGCTTCTCCAGCGAAGAGGCTAAATTGTTGCCCATTCACCATTTCGAAGCCGTTCTTCTGTCCCACAAATCATCTATCCACCTTGACTTTTCATTTTCTCAGCGTTGGCAAAGCTTGCATCTGACCATGCTGCAAAATCCAGTTTTTCTGGATGAATGGATTTCACGCGGATTTCGGTATTGGAAAAATCTCAAGCCAAAGCAACCAAACGATTCACTTCGATCATGTCATTCACTGTGGATTGCGCAATTCGTTGTTGAAACAAAGAGCAGCCAGCTGCTAGGTCTGGCCTGGATCCTGTCACCAACCATTGGACCTCACCTAGCATTCCTGGGTCTTTTCTTGAGGCGTCGTCTCACTCTCTTTTTCCTTTCTTCGTTCTTTTGAAATTGAAATGCACTCCAATGTTTCAGCATAATCCTTCTGTTCAATCACTACACTTCCATCACTCATCTGTTTCAGCTGTTTCCCAAAAATTCACCAGAACCAGGTTTCACATGTTTACGTATATTTGCTTCTCAAACGTTCAAACTGGCCAGAAAAGAATTCAGTTGTTCCACCTACCGACAAATCATCTACGTGAAATGCAATCACTCCATTTAGGGCACCGGCGCTGTCCCGACTGTAGAAAATACAGTTGTCCAGTTCTGACTGCTGGAGACCTTGTTCTCGAAGAGTCTTGGTCAACGATGTCCACCACAACCTCGGTGCGTCAACGAATCCATAGACTGGTTTCACCAGTTCACAGACTGTTTCCTTTTCAATGTAACCTGGAACACCTCCAGGCGGCAAGCGAACTAGGATCTTGCCTTTCTGTTGATCAATGTTGTCACCTCTGAGAAAAGCTCCTTCAACGTCAGCAATCACAAGATTCCATTTGTAGCTTGCAAGAAGCTGAACTGGAATGGCAAATCCTTCATTGCTAAGTGTCGGTGACGCTGTCTTCAACTCAAGCACATCAGGGTCTAGGTACCCCTTCCCTCAGGAGTTCCGTCATCTGAAGTGTAAACAAATCGTGACTGCAAAGTTCTATCCTTACCCACTTCATCTTCTATCCTTTTGGCCTCAAGACCTACATGTACCTTCATGGGCCCTGAGTTGATGATTTTATCCCCTTCTTTCGTGTTCGCCCTATCCAGTTCTTGTCGTTTCTCCAAAGAAAGCTGTTTCTCCTGAAGTTCCTTGTGTTTCAACTTCCTTTGTTTCGTTTTCGTTTGACGCTCACTAGTCTCCTGGTCATCATCATTTGTTTCCTCCGTTTCATTCATCAGAACATGACACTGCGCCCCATTTTGATGTTCAAGATACATGACCTCTCGACTCGGCGAACGACGAACGGGTGCACCAAAATCCAAACTGTTCAAACTATTCCTCATGGCGTGTGTCAATGACGAAGTTCTCACAGGTCCATATTCAGTGTTTTCCATTGTCCAACTGCTAGGATCTCTCAGTCCGTTTGTTTCGTTTCCGTTTCCTGCTAATTCAGCTGCTGGCTCTTCAGCCGACAATCGTCCACTGTGTTCCGAACCTGCTGGCGACTGTATATGATCAATGACAACGTCCTGAGCTTCTATACTGCTTCTGCCTGAGCCTCTTGTTGCTGACTCTCCTCAACATTGCCTCCAACCACCTATGGTCAACTGGTTCCATTTCCACAGCTTCTGAGCCTCCTTGCGCTCCTTGATCATTCATGATCTCATGCTCGGCTCTTTTTCTCTCTTCTCTCGCCTCTTCTGGTGGAAATCTCTCTTTATCAAGCTCAACAAGGTTGCCTGCTCCTCGTTCTCGAATTGTGCTCTTCCACGTCCGCAATGTGATAGGCAACCATGACGACAGTTCAATGATTTCCGAATCAACATGCTTTACCTGTTCTGGTGCACATCTGTACACCTTGGCACCTTACATGACCCAGACCTTCTCAGTTTGGGAATCAATCACTCGTCCTGGCCCATGCCAGTGATGTCTTTTCTCATTTGGTGATTTTCTCCACATCATCACTTGGTCTCCAACTTCAATTGGTCCACGGTTTGGTCGACTTCTATGGCTTATGGCTCGCTTCAGTTTACTCTATCTGATCTGCTGAGCCTTCATGCGCTTCTCTTCTTTCTCACGCAGAGCCGACTCTTGTGTCTCATTTCCTTCACCAAGCGTGCCAAGCACTGGTACACGCATATCTGCTCCAAGCACGTGTTGGTGGGGTGAGAATCCATCAATTCTGGTCATGGTGTTGTGTGCACAATTCAATTGATCACACAATTCTTCAACTTCTTCTTTCGACTGTGGATCAACCTCCAACATGGATTTCCGAAACACTACCTTCCATGCACCTCCTAACCTTTCACACACACCATTCTGCCATGGTGCGTATGCTGCTGTGACCGAGTGTTCTGTTCCATCACTTGCCGTCGAACTCCATCGCGTTGAGGTGCCGGTGAAGGAGTCCCTGTCGTAGCGCTGATGACCAACTCTTTCTGCTCGGGCTGATCCGGTGGCAGGAAATCCGGTCGTGACACTTCATCACCCACCACCTTCTCGGAGGTCTCGCCCGTCTGCCATTTGCTGTTCGTCGACCCGTGGAGGTGGGGTGCCTGAGCTTGAACTGCGTGCAAGTCCTCCAACTGCGCTGGAGAGAACAACGGGGTCGTAGCTGGTGCCAAAGTCCTTGGGGGCCCTTGCGGCCTCTGGTTCTCTTGGTCTCCATCCCCATGGCCATCTTCCAAAGCCAGCCGCTCTTGCTTGCCCCTCTCAGAGCCATCGCCATCCACCTCTTCCGACTCGCCAGGCGCTCGCCGCCTTCGCCTCCTCATTGTGCTCATGGCAGTGAAAGGAAGGGTCGTGGGGCAGCCGCCGGCGAGTAGCGGTCTTACACCTCTGCCTTTGGGCTCATAACCTGCTCGCCTTTCTTTTCTCCAAACTGAAAACAGCTGCAGTACACTTCTCGTTTTGTGCGTGTTGGCCTTTTCAGCCTGCAGTTTCGACTTAATGGTACTTCCACCATGTCCAGTTACTGTGTATTACAGTATGTCATATTCTTCCATGGTGGTCGATTTCTCTTTGCGTAGGAACACGGTTGGGAGAAACTGTGGCGCGACTTTGCTTGTATCCCTTTTTTAGCTACGAGTACTCATGGCTTTTTGGTCTCCAAGACTCCAAGAGGCCTATGCCTGTCCACTGCACCCGCAGAATTCACCAGAAGATACAGAAAAAGGACAGGAAAGGAAAGCGGAAAGGGAAGAGGAAATGGACAGGCAAGGGGGGAAGGAAAGGAGTGGAGGAGAGAAATGTACGAAATGAAGGGGATATGAGTAGAAGAAGGGAGGAATGGAGAGCATGAAGGGAGTATGAAAGGAGAGGAGGAGAGAGAAGGAGGAAAGGAGTTGAACACATCTCAAACAGAAAAGTTAGCATAGATTACAGTAATGTCTTTTATATAAACTGAACGTTAAATTCAAACAGTAAAACAACATGCGCGTGAAAAACAACAACAAGATAAAAAGAAATAGAACAGGAGAAAACGAAAAGGACAAGGAACAAGGAAAAAAAGCAACATGAGAGAAATTGTGAAAAAGGTGAAAAGGAATGTCAGGAGTGGAAAATGCGGCTCAATTCGAATAAAGGAAAGGAAAGGCAAGGCGGGAGAATGGAGGAAGGAGAGAATCAGGAAAGGGAAGCGGGAAGGGAAATGATATGGGAACAAAAGAGGAAAGGAAAGGGCAAGCGGGGAGAGGAATGTGTGTATGCCCTGGTTGTTTTGTATCTGCCACAGGCCTATCCCAGGAAACTCTACAGCCCTAGCAGCTCTAGTGCAAAATCTAGGAAGCCATGGGGTCGAACAATTCTTAGGAAATCATGGAGAAAACTCTGGAAGATTCTGGAAGCTTATTTTCCTGATAACGTATGAAAGCAAGGGAGGGGAAACCACCCTGAGGAAGCATACATTTAGGGAAATGATAGGAAATGTATGAAAGGAGACGGGGGACATCATGCGCATCATGTCCCGGACATCCATAATCATCATATCATTAAATTTACAATGTCCAAGTAAATAAAATATATAGAATCACCTCTGCGGGAATGAAATCAGGAGACCAGGAATGTAAATTTCTATAGGGGGTACACCCGTACACCGCCCTGAATTACAGGTATATGTGTGAGCCGGTGATCTACCCCAGAAAAAGGACAGTTCATTAGTATATTGTTTAAAGCTGCAATCTAAGCTGCCAACGTTCTCCCCGGCAATCTTTGTTCCACAATCCCTAAAAACATATCTAGCAAACTTTAATTTCCCCGTATTAAACTCAATCAACATCTTAACGTTTTCAACCTGACAAAGGGTGCCCCTGTCAGTGTTCATACAGAATCCTATCGACCATCATCCATCATCAGGTCATCACCTTTAATAAGGGGATGTGGTCTCCAATAACTCCTCAAACCTTGTTGACCTCACCGGATTAATCAACGGCCCCCCCTCCTTCGAGTCGAAGGAGGGGAGGGGGGCCGTTGATTAATCCGGTGTTGACATTACTTCAACCAATGAACCCAGTTCCCAATGAACCCAGTTGAGACTCTCAAACATAGGCAACCCACAGGTGTATCACAAAAGCCCCATTGTGAGAAGGCAGGCCAAGCTTCAGATCTTCGGAGAGGTTTGACGCCCACACACCCGCTGCTCCCGGCTAGGAACCACAAGTTTTTAAAGATGCACAAAGCCCGCATGATTGCAACTGTGGAACAGCGCACAGAACTCTCTCCAAACTTGTTGGAATCCTCCCCCTTTATCTATGCAAGCTGACGGCTGAACAATCAGCTCAGCACAAAAAAACAAAAGTTTTTCCCCATCGGCCTATCGGGGACCAACAATAGCCTCATTGCTAGGTGAAAGATTCGGGCTAGAGATTGCATCGACTTTGAGGACAATGCAACAAAACTCTGTTGATCTAAGTGCTGACCAGTCATAAACGAGGGTTCAAAAATCCGCCCGCACCAAAGGTGCTCAGGGCGTGATCATCCGGATGGCATAAACAACTGTAAGGTACAGGTTTACCGGGGGGGCGCCCTATTTGTGGGCAAAAACCATTGCTTTTTGATAGGTCACGACGGCGGACTTCAACACTGTTTTTACAGCACGGAATGGACTAGTTCGCACACGCGCCTGCCCGGAACCGGCAAGAGAAAAGTGAAAAAAAACATTTGTTTCTTGACTTTTGGTCTTCGATTTTCGGTTTTGAGACGCGTATTCTTTGCATGTCTTGACGGGAGGCCGGGGTGCCAGATTTTGTGATTTCGGAGCTGTTTGGGTGACCGTTTTTGTTGCGCAGAAACATTGGTTTTTGCAGTGTTTTTGTACATTGCCGAGGCTTGAGCTTTTTGCGCGAAAATGTAAAAAACCTCGCAAATAGCAGTGTTTTTGGCGACCGTGTTGTTGAAGGCGTCGCAAATTGCGGTGTTTTTGGACAGCAGGTTCAAAAACACTGTAAATAAGCGGTGTTTTGGGCCACGGCAAGCTCAAAAACATCGCCGCTGTTTGCAGTGGTTTCTGCCTCACAAAGCATAAAAACACTGTAAAATACGGTACTTAGTGGCGTTTTTGGCAAGGTCAACCTCAAAATGTTAACCTCGCTATTCGCCGTTTTTGTTGGGCAACTGTTTCATGGCGGTGCGGGCGGACCTTGCCGCGGAGCGGCGTGAATAGCCATATGACCTTTTCTAATGAACATGCTCATCAGCAGCAAAAACACACAAACAATGTCTTTGCGACAAAAGAGTTCAACAATACCGGTCTTGCTACGAGTGAACAAGTTCATAATGCAAAGTCTAAACCAGCCCTTTATTCTCTCTCTCTCTTGGGGGATTGATGCAAATCAATGGTTCACAATGTTTTTAAACCTTTAACTTAAAGTCTGCAGCCAAAGATCGCCACCCAGCAGCATAGTGCGCCCCGCATAAAGCAACTGCATCAAAGGCTTTGTACACAGCACATGATAGGGTAAAAGGTTAATTTGGACCCGCACAGCAGAGAGGAACTCGAAGCAATGCACGGCAGTGAAAAGGATGTTTGCTTCAGTCTCCTCTGCCTTGCACCATGTCAGTGAGCCTTCTGCGCATCATGAATCATGATATTCAGTTAATCATGTGTCATAACTGCTCCAAGGCGGCTAGATTGAGATTGTTGCGGTGCGAGAAGACAGCAACCAAACCAGAGACCTTAGCTTGCAACAAGAAAAACATATTATATAAGCTCACTAGCCTGTTCATGAAGCTTCATAGTGCAAGCTTGGCAACCAAAAGAATTGCGGTCCCAGATCGACGCATGGCACTATGACCAAGAAGAAAAAGTAATGGCACAAGTGATGCCTTGGACAAAACGATATAAGGTCGTTCAACGCCCTACCATATCACCAAAGCAACAACAAGTCCCAGATACGTCAAGGGCTGCTGGAAGCAAGCCACCTACGGGCCCCTCCAACCAATATGCCTCGAAACATGGCTTGGCATGTTTCTTGCACAGGTGACCCAAAGGATCCCACTTGTGTTTATGTCATCGAAATCTTGTAGTGCCACGCCTGGCTCTGCTTCAGCACAAAGCAACGTGCTACGGCGCCACCAAACCACAGCCTAAAAGCAAGTGGAGAACACACATTGAGTTCAATAATCCTTATATACTACTACCCCGTTTGCAACACGCGGCACAAAAGTGGCGAGGTACGCCTCAAATTGTAAAGGTCCATCGACTGTGACAAGTGTCCCACAAGAGCCTACCCTATGAGTTTGTCTTCTATGGCTCTATGGCGCGTCTGATCTGCAACCTTGCAAAATTTTCCTCCGCATCTGATCTGGCAGCCATGACCGTCTTGAGCAAGACGGTTTCAATGACCCATAAAGCAGCAATATGCTCGTTTGGGCACCAGGCCCAACAGTGTGTGTACTGGAAATAATGGAACTCCTTTTGCACCACTGAGATTCCTATTGCATCCGATTGCTCTACAGTTACATTCCAGCCAGAAGGTCACTTGAGGCGCAAAGCAAAACATATCCGCAAACAGTTGTCTGAGGAAGCACTCCCCAAGCACTCTGGAGCTATGTTAGTATTGAAACACTGTGGAAAAACAAGCTTACGAACTCCTCTAGAGTATGTTGGACGGGTTGAGTCTAACATGGAACAATCGAAAGGAGTTTTGAGCCATCTCGGATGGTCTATGTGAGTGTGGGCATGTGCCGCATTTCGGCTAGCGACTGACACCCTGAGAATTGTTAGCATGGTTGTCCAAGTTCCCACCATTGGTTCTTTGTCCTCGTAACTTGAATAATTAACTTGCAGGAGTCCGAGTTCCATTTCGGATATTTTTCCAAAAAATATGTGGGGATGTTGGATGTTGGGGGACGCTTTGAGTATCTGGCATATGATAATCTGATAAGCTAGCATTTGCTGCTTCGGTGCACCCATCTCCATCCTGAATCCTTACTTGGATTTGTTCTATGCTAGTGTCCATAACCACATATGTCACAGTCTCAAACACCAGTGCTGTCGGATTGCCGGCAGATCACCAGTTCAAAGGTGCCATGTTTGTGACCAACTAGACCTGTATTCAGTGATAAGTTTCGCGGGAGTAATCCAGTCTTGAGGTTCAATTCCGTTCAATGTCTCCTAGAGCCTAGAGCCCACGTTTTCATCAGGATCCTAGTGTTTTCACTGTAATGTGCAAAAACAGCCGAACAATGAACATCACACAAAACAAAAAGAATGCTCCTTTCTTTTTCAAGTGCCACTTTCCTGGATGTCCTAGCGTAATTGCTCAAGCCGGTGCAAGGAGCTTTCCAACGAGGTCAAACGGTTTTGGCATTGCTCTTGCTGCATTTTTAAGAGAAGGTCAGCAAATCTCTAATTGCACAATCAAAGGTGGATGTTCACATCTGGGCATTCAAGAAGGACCGCGCTTTCAGATGGGAATATGAGCACAGTTTTGACGACAATCAAACACCAGTTCGACAAACAGCATTTAACATAGCACTCAAAGTTCTTTCCTCGACGACGCAGCATGCAATGTCCGTCTGTTCAGCACAATCCACGTGAAGTATAGCATGCAAATGGGTTTCAGAAGCACCAGTGCTTCTTGTACATCACTGTATTTTTCATTGAAGAACAATGGTCAGCAAATGGACTTTGCAGAAAAGGCCACCAACAAACAGCTGCATAGAAAATAAAGAAAAAGGAAACGAAAACACAAAGAGACAAGAAGGGAAAGAATAGAAGGGCCTGAATGCCGGAGGACATCCGCTTTCCCACTGCTCTCCGGATTGTCGGCATCTTGTGTTGTTGCCTTTCTGCAAGAACTATAGGAAGCCTGCCAGTAGGATTTTAGTCAGTCAACCATAGTCAAGTGTCCCTAAAAGTCTAGGAACCAAATGAATAGTGCGAGCGCTATCCTGGGTCCATACTAGTAGCTTAAGTAAGGTACTAGCTACCTCTCTCTCCCTTATTACTTATATAATTAAGTAAGCGCGTACTTAACTTAGTAGGGAGGGGGCAACAGGCTAAAAAGAAAAGTAGTAATCTAAGGTAATTAATAATTACCCGGTTGGTGATGTGCCTTGAGGCGAGCCTAGCAACCGGCACTCAGGCCCAAGCCCCTGCTATCCCCTGCTCCCTGGTGATCTCCGTATTTAGCGGTCTTCATTACTTGGAAGATATATATATATAAATACTAATATATATATATATAAAGAGTAGAACGCACCTCTTTTCTGTTCGCTCTGCAGCAAGATTGTCAGAAATTAAGAAACAATTAGGAAAATGCTGAATCCCCCATAAAAGTTCAAGAGTATCCCCCCCCGTTCCTGGTCCACCACACAAGGAAGGGGGCGTACCCGCATACTCGTCCCCCCCTGACCAGGTGGGCCACACCCCTAGCCCTGGCCAGGCCCCAAGGGACATGCCAGCTTTTTCCTCTCTTTGAAGCTGGTCTTTTGGAGGGGTGTTTGTTGCCCCCAAACACAGTGAGCAAAACAAAACAAGGGGGGGTGAGGAGGGCAAGCCGAAACACTACAGAACAGACATTTAGGTGGCCTACTCTTTAATCCCGGGGGGCGGGAGACCAAAGAGTAGAACGCACCTCTTTTCTGTTCGCTCTGCAGCAAGATTGTCAGAAATTAAGAAACAATAGGAAAAATGTTGAATCCCCCATAAAAGTTCAAGAGTATCCCCCCCCTTCCTGGTCCACCACACAAGGAAGGGGGCGTACCCGGATACTCGTCCCCCCCTGACCAGGTGGGCCACACCCCTAGCCCTGGCCAGGCCCCAAGGGACATGCCAGCTTTTTCCTCTCTTTGAAGCTGGTCTTTTGGAGGGGTGTTTGTTTCCACGTCCCCCCAGGCCTCGTTTCACAGAGGCCGCCCTGTTCCTTTGCAACGGCTCAAGTGTTTCAAAGTTACGAGGATCAGAGTTGTGGAAAAATGTACGAAAAGGTGCCAAAAAACGTTCAAGAAGGTCCAATTTCATCTCTGTCAGGATAGCACGGGATTCGTTCAAGTACATCCGCGCCGTTTTTTGAGCCTGCCACCTACCGAGGACCATTACCCGGTCGAGATTGCCATGTTGGCAAAACCACCATGTGGCACCCCCCTTCTCAACGAATAGGGCCTAAGCTCCAACGGTTCTAAATGCAGGCTTTCGATGCAGGTCTTAAAGAGTTTGCGCCAGCGGGCCGCGCCCGGGCACAGTTTCTGGTTGGTCGAGGCTAGTTTGACCCAGTGCTGTACATAGCGGTAAGCCGTATCATGACTGATCGAGACACTCTCTTGGACACCTGCCCTCTTCCCTGCCTTTGTAAGGCCAAGGGCCACCACAGCTGTGCGCAACTTGGAGGAAATTTCCACCCTAGAACGGACCACATCAAACAGTTCCCCTGTTCGAAGAATACCGTAAAAGCACATCAGTAAGCTAGTAGCAAAAGCAAAATGCCCATTGTAGAGGCTCCACCCTACCATGCCACGCAACACGACCTCCGGCACCGGCGGTGCACGATTGGGCAATTCGTGCGTTACCCAAGTCTTCACTAGTCTCCAAGCACCTGGAAGACGCCCACGGATCTTTGCATCGTGGTCTTGTAAAGACGCCAGGGTGTCGGCGGCCAGACCACGCCCCTCCCCCGTGAACCACAGATTATTCCATAACGAGTGGGTCCAATTGATCACGTCGACTGGGCAGCTGAAGGCCTTCGGCCCTCAAAAAGGAGAGAAAACGGTTGAGAGCCTTGTCATACCGGGCTCTAGTGGAAGGTTGTACGGTAAGCTGTCGAAGTGTGCCGAGTTTTTGCCGATCTCTTGCTCTGCTAGCTTGTGTTCCTCCTTCAAATACGGGTTTTGGCATGACGGAATTTTGTACGTACCGCCCACCGCGACGGACGATCCGCCGGGTTAAGGTCGGTACTCACGTACCCCCATAGGCCAACCACATTGTGAGCTAACAAGAGCGAGTTTATTCGGCAAAGCGTCCGCCTCAAGCGCCGGCTTGACGTTCGACCTCTGGTCATACTGTGAAGGCGTACCAAAGAGTCCGTGAGGTGCAGTATTCGACAACTATGGTGCCTACAGCCCTGCTCACAGATTTCAGTCAACTGTGCAACACCTATCTCACGAGGCAAAGCGGGTTTGATGTTAGACCAATTGAACCGCAAGGCTGTTTTTACCTCGTCACCTTTGTAGTCGATAGTCCTTGTACGAAAGAACTCCTCCCATTCGAACCCGGCCGTCGTCTCCCTAACCTCCTTCAACCGAGCGACGTCCTCCAACAGGCCCCGAAGGACCCTCGCCTGCATCTTCGTGACTGGCCGCTGATGATGTCCATCTTCTTCTTCCTGACAAGAATTGGGTTGGCACCCCCACATTGAATTCAAGGCTATGCAAACTGCCATCAACCACTCTGTGCACCAAGGTTGATCGTCACTGACAAAAGGTGAAAGTAGATTGCGGGAGGTTGGAAGGGGGAATGTATCACGGTCCTTAACCTCCATACCCTGCTCCATACCCCCCTCCATGGACTGGCTGCAAAGCTTTAAAACCCCCTGCAATCCACCCATCACTGCCTTGCCCATCTCCCAAAGCTGCAAACCACTCACATCAGCAAAAGTTCCCTCCTTTTCCGACCCGACATGGTTCAAGGGGTCTAGCCCCGGTGGGGTCGTCGTAGGCTCGGACGTGGCATTGCTCGTCCTGCCCTTTGAGATACCTATAGGAAAAGTCGCTGCTGGCGGCGGAGGGAATGATGGATCGTCCCTCAACGGCCGGTTCAAATTGGCACCACCAACAGATGAATCGTAGTGCATGTCACCACAAGGGCCTCGTCGAAAGGGTGGCGGTGTCGCTCGGCAAGAGTTCCAGGCGGTGAGCGGAGGCCCATGGGAGCCCGCCGATTTGGGCTTCCAATGACTTCACTCTTTGGATCAGGGTGTCGAGGGCGGCCGGCAACTGCCCTCGGAGGACTTGATCTCCCACTGTACATAGCGTATGGAGTTCTCTCGCCATTGGACCAGATACCCGCCTGCTGAGCATCTGGCGATAGTACCTCAGCAATGTTGGCACCCAGCCTTCCGGCTGACCTCCTGGCCAGCCTCCAGCAACATCAGCTCCTGCATGTCCTCGATGGCTGCTGCTGACAGCACTCCAGGGAATGAAACCCCGACTGCTCTGATCTTGCTCTCTGCGCGGCCTCGCTGCCGCTGCTTTTGCTTCTGCTGTCGGACTTGCTCCGGCCCTTCTTTTGAGCGAATCGTTGAGCCTTCCTCTTCACGCGGTTCCGGACTCTCCGCGATGGATCCAGTCCGCTGCGGCCGAACATGGTCTTTTGATCGACCTGCGTGTAGCTCTTGTCTTGGCTGGTAGAGCTGCTGGGCGAACTCCTCACAGGGCTTTTTCCCCCGGCGGTCACCTCTTTGTCCTTCTGTTTTGCCGGCTTCTTGTCTCTTCCTCTTGATCGGCTCCCTCGACTTCGGTCTCTCCGGCTTTTCTTCTTGTCCGAGCTGCCTGAACTCCTTCGCCGCTTCCTCTCCTTCCTTTTCTTCTTCTTTTTGTCTTCTTCTTTTGCGGCGCCCTTCAACTTGGGGTCGTCGATCTCCACGGGCCGAGCTCCTCCTGGAACAGGGTCCGGAAGGTCTTCCATCCGCCCCCACAAGCCGGCCAGTTCGCCTGTCCCTCGATCGCCCGCGCTGACGAGGACGTCTCGCCAAGGCAGGTCAGCGAGTTCGTGAAGCCCTGCTATGGTGCGAGCTTCTTGGCAGTGAAGTAGGCCTGGTCCCACGGTGTCTTGACTGCATCCCTCCTGACACATGTGTACCCTGGCCAGGTGAGGGCTGCCAGTAGCCCATGTGAGAAGACTCGCGAGATTGGCGCCGGTGAGCTTGATCATGAGACAGCGGCCTGATGCGTCCTTGATCTCTTCGTGGATCTTCCCCGTAAACTGACAGGGATTGTTGTAGTAACTGGCTCTCAAGCCGCTGAATGGGCTGGGACCCTGGTGAACACCAATTTCTCTATGCGGACCGTCAAAAAGCAAGGGTTACAGTACCCCGATGTTCCGGCAGGAAGTCGAAGACGTCCACAGCAGCCCCGGCAGGCTGCCATTCACACCCTTCAAGCCGAAACACTACAGAACAGACATTTAGGTGGCCTACTCTTTAATCCCGGGGGCGGGAGGCCAGAGAGATCTGGGTTGCCGTGTTGGCAAACTACTTTTGTTTTGTAGGGGCTGTCCTCCGATGGAGCCTTGCACACATGAATACTTCCTTGAGATTCTTTCTACTGTACTGTTTCATGAGCACGTCCGTTGCAAGAGAAGATTGTGATCTTTGCATTTAAGTAGCCTTCCCTTGTCCTTTGGATTTTTAAGTGCAATGCATCCTGACTCACCGGATCTATTGTGGCCGAATTTGCCTGCCTACTGAAGCGGCTACTTCCTAGATCATGAAGGTAGAACTTGTTTTTTCAAAGGTTGGAACTTTCTCTGGAGAACGTCTTTGCCAGTGGATTGTGCGTCTAAGCCAGTGGCTTGCATTTTGGTATATTTTGGGTCTACTGGATGACATGAAAACCGTGTTCTTTTATACCAGGGAGCCCAAAGTCTCCTTTGGTTCCTGTTTTTCGTTATGCGAATTGTGCACTACGCTAATGAAATGGTGCTGGAGCCTGAGTGTCTTGTTCAGATCTTGTGAGACTCGCCGGCAGAATGCGGGTGTTTTATCGTGAGTTTGCGGTTTGCCATGGTTTGTCGACTTGGGTTGCACTCACAGACGGATAGGAATGTTCGACAGTCGACAGTGTTCCCTGCGGGCCTGTGCGTTATGCGGCTTGTTCTGTTGCCTGTCTTTTCATGCAATCATGCCTACACAAACAAAGAAACGCAGTTGGAAGTTCAACTCAGAAATGTGTGCAGCACAAATCAGCCAATGAAAAGCTGTCGATCACCTTTTATGAGGAGCCTCTATCCGAAAAACGGAGGCGGTTGAAACCCAACACAAGTGAAATGTCTTGTCATTTGGTTTATATAGTTGATTGAATCTGATATATTGTAGTTTTCTAGTTTCTTGATGTTTCTTGGTTGGTTGGTGTTGCTGATGTAAAAATGAACTGATACACTGTTCTCTCTCTCTCTCTCACTCTCTTCTCGCCAGAGTCGAGCATGCTTATATAGTATGATGATTGTACATTCTTCTGGGGTGAAACAGCCCTTCCTTTCTGTACACGATCTGCCTTCCCTTGAGACCCCGACGCGGAGCATTCCTCCAGCAAAGGAGAATTGATTCGCGCGCCTTATCGAAATGAACCAACATCCAGGATGCAAATTGCAGCGGCCAATTTCAGATTCAAGTGCAAAGCAAATCTGTCGAGTCAAGCTGCCTGAACGAAGAACTGCTGAAAGCACGACTACTAATCTCAACATGGCCTTGCACACAACTGGCATCTGAACACACACACACACATGCCGTAAGATGCAGTTCGCAAACTTGGTTTCTTTGTCATATTGATGAGGATGATAAAACCAGTTTGCAAATCATAGTCATCCTAGAAAACAAAGCGGTTAACCTTTCCCATGGCCGTGCATGTGCAAACGCAGGCAGCACTTCTAATTATATAAATGGTGACAACCTCCGTACTCACCCAAGATCAAAATGGCATTGTAATTGTAGTTTTTTCTGTGTGGGACAATGAGACAAGCATGTGCAAAGTTCCGTGCGCTAGCAAGTGACCAAGTGCTCTTGCTGCGGCACAACCATTACTGAGACTGGGCGTTGAATTGTGTGCTTCCGATCGTCTTCTGGTGACTTGGGACTGTGTGACTTCGCGCTGACTTTGCGCTACCACTCAAAGTGTCCTGGAGGTAGTGAGAGGGCTGTGAGAGTGCTTGGACGTGCTACTAAAGAGCTGAACAGTGCTGGACATATTCAGAGTTTCAACCTAATAGCGCTGGACTCCAACCTAGAAGTGATGGCCTCCAACCTAATACCGATGGCCTCCAACCCAATAGCCCAATAGCGATAATTCTGGTTGGTGCCACTTGGGCTGCTAGGTTTGCTGCACTCCCGGCTACACGCTGCTATTGTACTACCCCTGAAGTGGTTGTCTGTTGTAATCTCTGGGCTTATCCAAATATCAGCTTTCGTTGGCTAGTCAAGGGGTCTCGGTCTCACTCTACACTACTCTACACTTCTGGAATTCACTGTTTTGAGCCGTTTCACTTGAGACGTTGAAGTACAGAAGTACACGTATGTGCACCTGCTATTTCAGCTGCTTGGACTGTTGCAAACATCCGCTATCGCATCAAGCGGTCCTTTTGTGCCCAGATGGCTAGGGGTATATGCGGTCACTTAAAGTGTGCAAATTCTGCACCCACCGGGCGGTGAAAGTCTTTTCGACTGAAATCGCCACCGCACGGGGAAAAGCAAGTAGTGGAGTCTGGTTCCAGGGCGCCTTAGGTCAGGCCTTGGCGCCCTTCCCTTCCACTCTTCTCAAACCCAAGTCGCTGCAAGTGGGCGTGGATCGTCGCCCTTGGCTGGACCTTCGTCACTAGGTCCGCATCGTTGACCTTGCCGGCCACCTTGCCCACCTCCAGCTCCTTGTTGAAGACTTTGTCCTGCAGCCACAAGTATCGGGCTTGGACATGTCTGTTGGCGCCCACACCCTTCCTCTCGCTCATTGCCTTGGCGGCACTGCTGTCCACCATGAGCTTCACCTTGCGAGCCTCGAAGCCCCAGAAGGCCATGACTCCTCGCACAAACTCAGCGTGAGTTGCGGTGCGGCGCGTTCCATAAAATTCGCTTTCGCAGCTGGAGAGTGCTACAATCTTCTGCGAAGTCCCTTTCACCAAAATGGTGTGCTCTCCAGCCTTGATGACTGCACCGGTGGTCGATCTCCGGCTCCTGAGGTCTCCTGCCCAGTCTGAGTCCGAGAGCGCCACCACATTGAACTTCTCGATGGGCTGCTCGTAAAGAGCCAAGTACCTGACAGCCTTCTTGAGCCTCTGCCAGTCCATCATCTTCGGCCTCTTCATGGCCGATGCAAGCGACCTCACCACATGGCATGGTCGGGCCTGTCCACACTCATGTAGGCCATCCTCACCATAGACCTGTAGAGGCTCACCTGTCTGCTCTCAAGCACTGATTGCCTGTCCGCCTCCACCAGATCAGCCTGAGTCATCTTGTCCTCTGGCGCGTCGCACCCTTTGGTCGTCTTGTTGAAGCCAAACTCTGGGAGTAGGATCTCTGCGTGCCGGGCGTCAGCCTCGATCTCCAGGCGTCGTCCATCATGGTCCGCTCCATCTGGGATGTACTTGATGAGGCGGTTAAGGAAGGTCGTCATTGAGCTCTTGTCGCCTGGCCCATCTCCGACGAGGTTCTCCCATTTCGCCGTGTACTTCTTGTTGAGGATGCCATCCAACCAGCGAAGTTGAGCATCTTCACCCACCACCAAGAAATCATCTCCATGGACCAGTCCAAGTAGTCCACGCTCCTCAAACCTGAAAATGGCTGGGCATAGCGGACAAAATGTCCCTCCATTCTGCTTAAGCAGCCACCCTTGATAATCTTCCTGAAGGATTTTACTTGCATCCTGGGTCCCGTACACGCTCCGCGTGAGCTTTGCGACCATTGGTTCTTGGTTGGTTGGCTGCACCATGTCCTGCTCCGGCAATTCCATGAAAATGTCACGCGCAGCACGCCCCATAAAATGGGCACGGGAGATGTCCCAGTTCGCGAGCTTGAGCTCGCCCTTCTTGGGGTCTTTTGACATGAAGGCGCTGAGCAGGGTATTGACGGCCTCAATCGGTGGAGTCGCTGAAAAGGTGTCAGCCCACCCAACTGCACGTCGGCCAGTTTGGCCTTCTTGATCTCCTTGGCCACCATCCTGCTCCGGACGAACGGGTTGTCATTGTCGCCCTTGTTGACATCAATCCACTTCCATTGCAGGAGCTTTCCAGTGGCTTCCCTCCGAGGAACTCGGATGTAGACACCACTGCAATTCAAGCTCCCGAGCCTGCTCCCGACACGTCGTCCATGTACTGCTCCTCCTCTGCACTCAAGGCATGGGCGCCCACCAGTTCTTTCTTCAAGCCACGGAGGATGGCTTCCACCAGAGGGACTGGATACACTTGAGCTGCTTTGGCACGATCTCGGCCAATGAGGTGTACGCGCCGATGGACTTCTCGCCCTTTGAGCTTGTTGATGCACACCCCTTCTAACTCCTCGGCGATGTGGGTGGAGTTTGTCAGCCACAGTATCCTATTTTCCATCTTCACGCCAAACTTGCACATTGGGCTCTGCACCAGGTAAGTGTCCTTCCTCTCAACCATCTCCTGCACCTCAGGCTCTTGCCACGACGTCGACTCCTTGGGGCGCTCGTGGAGGAAGTACCCACCTTGTTCCCACTGCAGCTTGCAGCATGCCATTGTCTATTGGAGTCGCAGGGTGTTGAACCCTCTGCTAGTCTCCCTTCTCTCAAGGCCTCCTCCGCCATGTCCGCTTCTCTCAACCTCTTGGTCTCCTCAGCCTTTGCCTGCTGCTGTTCCACGAGGCATCTCTTGATGCCAATTCTGCAGGTCTCATTGTGGGCCACCTGCTGGAATCCATCCAAGGCACTCAGCAGTTCTTCCGAACCTCACCAGATGCTCTCTCCTCACTGGCCACGCTCTTGTCGCTGTCGGCGTCTGTGGGCTCGTACTCGGTCCTCCAACCTCTGCATCCACAGTCGCACCTGGCGCTTCTCCAGCTGCACCAGGTGCTTCTGAGCTCAGGCCTGCGTCTCCACGATGTCCCTGAACTGCGATAGGAGCTGGAGGAACCACCACCACGGCCGGCGTTGAAGGTGCTTGGCTCATCAGGCAACCTCCGAACATAGGCGCGAACGTCCCATGGAGAACCCTTTAAATTCAACTCCAACGGCCCCCAACCTGTCTCCATCCGCCACCGTGTGGAATCCGGTGCCCATCACGACCCCTTCCTTGCTCTGCCGAAACGGTTGTGGCATCCAAAACCTGGCCTCCTTCATCTTAGAGACATCTGTCTTCTTGCCCTTGCCAGCCGGCTTGATGAAGATCCTCTCCCCAAAGACCGGCGTCGGCTTGATCCACTTCTTGCCTGTCCTCCTCTCCTCCGGAGTGCGTCCATCTGCTCCCACCTTGTAGCGTTTTGACTGCTCAGCCACATAGCGTGGGATCCACAATGCCAATGGATGGCCTTCAGGTAGGCCACCCACATCCTTTCATGGCCAGTACTCCGGAATGCTACTTACCCTAGGCCGCGCACCAATTCAGTTGGTCGGAAAGCCTACCAGTCTTCATAGCAAAAGAGTCGTTGGAAAGCCTTTGAGAAAGCAATAGAAAGGTTTCAAGTTCTAGAAGAATCTTGAAGTTTCTTTTGCTTTTGACCCAAGCGGACAATCAGGTGCTTCGGGAGAGGCTGGCGACCTTTGAGGCACACGGCTCTTTCACCGCCACATGGCAGTGGCATGTCGCCTGAGGTCCGCGAGATGATGAGCGCACTTCGTGGACTGCTGGAGGCCTTGGGCAAGCTCTCAAAGCCAAAGGGCCTCATTGACCCTAGAGGCCTTGGGAAGCCGCAGATACATGGAGACAGTGCGGACGAGAAGTTCCGCCTATGGGCCATCAAGCTGGTGAAGCCAATGGGTTGGAGCTTTGTGCGTTGGACATCTGCACCTTGGAGGAGGACAGAGAAAGGAACCCATTACGCAGTGAGAGCCAACGCGCATCAACCCTGCGCAGTGAGAGTCACCGTGCATCAACCAGGACAAGGTCATCACGCCGAGGAGATGAGAGCTCAGCAGCTGATAGGTCAGCATCTTCCGTGGAGTCGTCCGACTCGGTGGAGAAGCCCTGGTTGAAGTGCAACTTGGACACTGGAGCATCTGTGACCGTGTTCCCCAAGAGCATGTTCGAAGCTGGTGAACCCAATGACATGCGGCTGAAGACAGCATCTGGGGAGGTCGTGAAGGCCTATGGAAAGGCGACAGTTCATGGCAAGCACACCCGTGGATTGATGAGGAAGCTCAATGGGGAGGTGGCGAGTGCGGCCAAGCTTCATGAGAAGGGTCATACTTCGTGGATTGGCCCTGGAGGAGGTGAGATCATCCCGCTGAACCACCCGGTGAGCAAAGCAATGATTGCAGCCTATCACAAGCGTGTAGACCAGTTCGGCAAGACGGGCATCATCCCGGTCTATGAGGAGAACGGCGTCTACAACTTCTACCTTTATGAGGAGCGGCTAGAGCAGGGAGTTGACACCTGATCGTGGGCCTCAAGCCGTGATGAACAGCACTTGGACAGTTGGTGGAAGTGAGAGGCCGATGAATTCGAGGAATCGCTCACCCCAACCTGGACGCCATCGACCGGTGTGCGCATTGGAGGATGAGGGAGGTCCAGTTGATCAGGGGGGAGATGGAGAGCAGCCGGGCGGTGAAGAGTTGGAGGTGCGTGAGGCCACCTACCTGGAGAAGAAGGAGCATGAGGCCTCGGGACATGCTGTCTACCGCAGCTGGTGTCCCGAATGCATTCAGGCCGCAGGACGAGTCCAACAGCGCCGCAGGGTTCCCCGTCAAAAAGGAGATGACCAGTACAGCGGCGATGGACTACTTCTAACCTCAAGACCGGAAGACCGGCATGATGATGGCAACAGCGCTCACCCAGAAGGGCGTGGTGGACATGACAGGTCAACGAGCTGTTGGGCTACAAGGACATCGTATTGAAGAGCGATGGGGAGCATTCGTTGGTGCGGCTGAAGAAAGCAGCCGGGAAGGATGCCAAGAACTTGGCCAAGGTCATCTGCGAGGAAAGCCCTGCTGGAGATTCGAGAGCGAATGGAGAAGCTGAGGCTGCAGCGAGAGAGATCAAGTGGAGGATCAAGGCCATCCACTTGATGTTGGAGAAGAATTTTAGACTGCTTAAGTAGGAGGTCATGTCACAATAGCTCATTCAGACTACCTTTAGTCGCAGATCACACAATCTCGTTCAGACTACTTTAGTGTCATCAAGCAAAAGTATCTCGTTTATGTGGGGGCCCTATCTCGTTCACAAGCGAAAACTGATGATACACAAGCAAATAGAGCTACTTTAGTAAAGCCTTAAAGTAGTTCCTCATGTATGAAACGAACTAGCACTCCCTGCTCGGGATATGTTTTTTTCTGTGTTTCCCCGGCTGCATATAATAGACTTACAAGGTTCTTGGGAGTGTGACTGAGCTCAAGTCTTGCCTACAATTCACCTTCAAACAATGTCGCGGCGTGTCAATTCCAGTTGCCCAAATTTGTTACCACGGAGCTGAGGTGAAACACATTTTCTTGGTTGTAGGTTCTGCATGGGTTCTGCACAGATTAGAACAATCGATAGGGTCAACCAGTTTGCGACCTTCTGGGCCATGCTGCTTGATTCTCCTCATTATCGGCAACTCTAAAATGCTTCGACAATGACAAGATTAGATTCAGTGGTTGTATGGGATTCTGCCACTGTACCGTAGCTCAACGCAACAACTGCCACTGGTGCCTCCTTCCAAAAGGAAGCGGTCAAGGTCTTTACTCTTTCACGCCCGGCGCACGTGAAGTTCATATAGCGCTTTTCCCTTTTGGATGGGAGAAGGCGGTTGTTCCATCTGCCTAAAATAGAAGATTCCGACATACTACTATATATCTATATATATATATATTGCTATTGAAGAATCCTTCACGCACATCCTTTTATTTTGTATGTTTTGATACGTAAGTTCCCCCTGACAGCGTGTCGAGGAAGTGAGCAATGGTCCGGAAAAACATGGTGCGAGTTACCTACTTCTCTTGAGATCGCTCACCTCAGCTGCAAAAGATATCCAAGTAATCTATCTTTGCCTTCCAGCACGTACGACATGGGGCATCTGCAAACAACCCCATGTTCAATCCTTTCGACAGGCTTTGCGCTTGGTTCTCGATATTCAAGTCTGGATCATTTGGTATCGACTTTCGACTTTTTTGAACTCTATGTATTCCATTCTAAATTTCGGTTTTGATTTTGCATTTGATTCTTGACACTCAATTCTCGATTGTCTGCTCTCGATTCTCGATGCTCTTCCACTTGGGGCACATCTGGTTTTCCCACCCCATCCTCCTGGGACAAATTTGAACCAACAGCTTGTGTTGGTTTGTTTAGCTAGCAGGCCCATGCAAAACCCTGGGCCCTCTATAGCTGGGCAACCCAGTGGGAATACTACAGTTACCGGCAACGCCGGGGCCCAGCCCAATGGTGCAACCACCGCAAACCGCAGCCGACTGACACGAACTGGCTAAATAAGATATTAGGATTATATTAGGATATCTGATATCACAATGACCTCAAGATGTTTCAAGGTTGAAGACGCTGCTCGCCAGGAGCGATTTGTTTCGTGAGTGAATGGGCAATCGTGTCCATAAACAAATGTGGCCTGGATAGCCAGCAAGGTATCCGCAGTCATGAGCACTGGCCACTGCGCCTTGATGCTTTCCCAAGCCTGCAAGGTCTGAGTCCGCAATGAGTACTTTGACCTAAAGCACCTAAAACTTATGAATTAGTCGTGCCTGATGGCAATACTTTATTTCTTGTACCGCGTGAGATATGCTCCACACACTTTTCAATAACTGGAATAGTTCTACAAACAGCAAAGCAAACTTCACCCTAGAACAGTACTGTCCCCCTTCACAGCTTACATCTTGGTGTATCATCGCCGGTTAGCGCTTAGAACGTTCCGAAATCCACTGCAGTCAGAGTATATATATAGATATAATCAAAACAACACTAGGGTAGGTTGGTTTTTCTTGATTTTTCTTGCAGTTGGAATATATACTTCACATTCAGAATGTCGCGCGGTTAGCCAGTGAATCAACCAGCAGCCTTGTTCCCTCACAACTTTCGATCTCTTTGTAGGTCTTTGTGGCAGCTCTCTAAGTGCAGTGGCTTCTCCTAGCTAGCCAAATAGATAGCTAAATAACTAGACGACAGGGTGGCCCGAAAGCAAGTAGGCGGAAGAGAACAAATAGAAGGGAAGAAAAGCGAAGTAACAGAAGATGAATGAGCACTAAAGAAATGAAGAGATGATATATGATGATTCAAAACATTAAGATGAAACAAAATGAGATGATGATGAGATGACACAATATATAATATATATATCTATATATATATACATTATGATTATGATACTATTATCACGTTATTACCAAATCTATTAATGTATATTCTGTTGCACTGTACTTCGGAGCCCAAACGGTAGTCCCGGTCGATTCTTTTTTATCCAGCGCCGGTCGAGCTCAAACGCTAGTCCCGGTAGTAAGAGCCGCCGAAGTGTGCGAAATCGCACGTCCCAACCTGGCATCAGGACAACCAATGCTCATACAAATGCAACACTTGAAAAACAAAACAAATTACCCACAGTTCAACTCATGTTGTTTTGTCGGTTATCAGATATAGTTGCACACCCAGTCGGAACAGGATCGACTTCGAACAACTCTCGGTCGTGGATCTCGTGCCTTGTGGAGTCTCTGCACGTTCAGCTGGAACAAGGGTCGACTTCGGACAACTTCCGGTCGTGGACCCAGGTCCTTCTAATCAGTTTGGTCACGACACTTTGCAATAGCCAATTCACAGCTTTTCGCCGATACTTGTAACTTCGTGGCTGGTGACTATATGTGGCATCGACATGCCGGCCTCCTGGAATTCCATTGCGTGGTGTCCACTTTCATTTGGTCCCACTTGTCGCCGCTCAACCTGTTCAAAAGACTCAATGTCTCTGGAAACGAAACTGGTCTTTCAGGTCAAATCACAACAAGCAAAGAATATCATTCAAGTCCAACAATCGAACAAAAAAAAGATGTCTATAGAGCTCTGTTTGCGCAATTTTATCGGTTATCAGGTATATTCGCGCACCCAGTCGGAACAGGATCGACTTCGAACAACCCTCGGTCGTGGATCCCGTTCCTCATGGGGTCTCTGCACCAGACAGCGTTTACACCGGACACCGTTTACACCAGACAAAAAGGTCTTACCGCAGACGAGGTTTACACCAGACAAAACCGACAAAGGTTTACACCAGAAAGAGTTTACAGCAGAGACAGTTTACACCAGACAGCGTTTACACCAGACACCGTATACACCAGACACGGTTTACACCAGACGTCGTTTACACCAGACAAAGCCAACAAAGGTTTACACCAGAAAAAGTTTACACCATAGACAGTTTACACCAGACAGCGTTTACACCAGACACCGTTTACACCAGACATGGTTTACACCAGACATGGTGGAAACCATTGCAGCAGCAATTATAAGGCGATTAGCAACAAAAGATCGCAAAACACCACGTAACTACGCACTGAACGATGACACAGGAACACCTTCGAGCCAGAACTATAAGGCGAATAGCAACCAAAGCGTGTAAAACACCATGTAACTACGCACCGAACGATGACACAGGAACACCTTCGAGCCAGAACTATAAGGCGATTAGCAACCAAAGATTGCAAAACACCATGTAACTGCGCACCGCAAGCACAGAGAATAGCCTCCCAAAACCGGATCTCGACGTCCAAGCTCCAAAAATTGCGATTTCGAAGCGTTTTTTAAAAGAGATTTATAAGAAAAATGAAAGCGGCAAAACTTGGAAAAAAGTACGTTGGAAACCATTGCAGTAGCAATTATAAGGCGATTAGCAACCAAAGCTTGCAAAACACCACGTAACTGCACACCAAACGATGACACAGGAACACCTTCGAGCCAGAACTATAAGGCGATTAGCAACCAAAGCTTGCAAAACACAATGTAACTACGCTCCGAGCGATGACACAGGAACACCTTCGAGCCAGAATTACAATGGGGGAACGCTCCGGGCACAGACCATGGAATCGCATTTCCCAACGAGTATGAAGTCCGCAGCGCACATTCGCGACATC